TTCTAATTGTTTTGTGGTTGGAAACTTGTGACAGGGTTGAGTTATTTATTTCATTTATTAATAATTTCAATTAAAAATATAAAGTAGTCATGGTATCAGTAAATATATACTTACCAAAATCATGACAATTCATATTTTGTTGTAAACTGAATATTTGATGTAATATGTCACTTAAACTTTGACAATCATCCTACATCAGAAATTGCACCCACATTAGCAGCAGTGCTGGGCATGCAGATATGTTGACACAGAAAGAAGGGGAGAATATGAGAGAGAAACAAAACTGAAAATTGAATTTGAAGGCAATGTATTCCTTCAAATGTGTTACAGTCTTCAACCCCATCACACTTTGTCACATTAATCTTTTTGGAAAAAGACAATTAAGAATGAAAGCATTTCTTGTTGATTACCATCTGACATGTTAAGGACTAAAACAATAAAACTGTGGTTTTAGTTAAACATCTAAATTCAAAATATTTTTTTACAAAAATAAAGAGACCATAGACACACGATTTGTTTATTTTTAACTTCAGTCCTATAAAAATGTGAAAATTATGATAAATGTTACATTTGCTATCATTAAATTGTTATCAGGGACACATGAGCAGTAGGTATGTTTGTTTTATAACAGGTTCTGTGTAACATAATTTTTAAACTAATCCCATTTTGTCCGTTATAAGGTTGAGAATAAAAGGTGTCTAAATCTGAAAAAAATTAAATGATCATAACGTCAAGTCATATAATTGTTTTTATTTTTCATTGTTAGATACAGTTGCGACGCTCAAGACTTCTGAGTCAAAATCACCATTTGGGTGGTGGTGGTACGTTTTAAACAATATTTGGTATGTTTACATTTTTAACATTTCATGGTATGTTAATAATAGTTTATTAAATTTAGTCACCACAACACAAAATCTGCATTTTAAAGGTTCTTATTTATTTATTTTTTAATTGGGCAGCAAAGTTTGCACTTACTGTATTTATAGAAAGTGCACAAGGATTTAACTTCTTGAAATTCACAGCCAGTTTATTATTGATGTGAGTTTGTGCTTCTGCTCACTCAGCTGTTCAATAAGGCAAATAATTTCTATTCTAAACAGCCTAGCTAAAGCAGAAATAAGGTGCTGTCAAATGTTACAGTGTGAACTTTTTCATGAACTAAGCAACTGGTTTTAAAAGAGATTTGTGTAGGATTAATTTATTCAAAGCTGTTGCTTTCCCTGCTTATTTGTGTTGCGAGTACAATGCATTCTTGATCATTGCTATGCTGGAAACATAATAGAGCCTCAGTTTGGCTCAGGTCTCTTAGTTAAAGAGTAACCATGAACTTTACTGAAACTATTTCTCAGATTTACAGTAATCCTCTCTCTGCTCTTTATATTAAAATTTCCCAATGACCATATCTGAAAACTATGCAGCGTTTATACAGAAGTGTTATTCAAGCATAACCGAAACTCACTTTAAATTCATTAAGGAAACGTTTTTGATTAATAAATGACTTCAGATATCTGGTTCAATGGCTTTGTCCTTTTAAACGTTTAAGTAATTCAGCATAGCCAACAGCAGCTGTAAGATTAGTGCTGCACTGATAAACCAATTTGTCCTCTGAACATACATACCATTTTGTCTTATCTTAGAAAAAAACATTTCTGATGAAATGTTGTAAATAAAGCCTTGCACTTGGTTATAATAGGCTCTGATGTTTCCTTAATTAAGGATCTAATGCCGCCATGTGGTTGAAAATGATAATGCAGTGCAGTCCTTTGATCGTGAATCTTTAGGCGTGACCCTGAGCTGACATGTCTGATAGTAAGCTATCACTGATACGATAAACTGAAGCCTAAACCTTGTACTGATAGCTTATCAGTACAAGGTTTAGGCTTTAGTTTAGACTTCTGTTTAGGAGAATGAAAAGATATAATAAATAAAACATGAAAATAATATTGTATTATTATTTCAATCAAGAGATTGCAGGATTGTTTGCCTCTGAAATGTAAACAAGTCCTATTTAATCTAGCTACAATGTAAAATAATACAGAGGTCTCCTCTGTCTAGTAATGCTAACTCATGCTATCCTTCATGTACTGCTGTGCAATTTCTAACCCACTTTGTTCAGACACCAGAACTTTTATTATTTATTGTGCAGTCTTTGCTTCCTTCATAATTGATGCTTGCATCTTGCAATGGGCATTTCTAAGGGGAACTGTATGTGCATGTTCATGTAGTTATAAATCATGGCTAAATGGGACTACATGGGGATATTTATTATAGATAAAGAAGAATTTCACAATTTTGTATTTATTTATGCACTTATAGCTGTACTACACCAAGAATTACTTTGGCATGTTTTTAGGTTATCTTCAGCTACATGCTATCAAGGTCCTGTCTGCTGTTAAATTAATTTATTTTTATTTTATTTTGTATTTTATTTATTTATTTATTATTAATCAAATCATTAAATATTGCTAAGCATATTTCAAAATGTTCTAAAGTCATTGTAATCATTTTAATTAAATAATTTACCAATAACTAAAATAATATTGACATTTGATGCACATAAAGGCATCAAGACAGCCATTTAATCTCAAGGGACCCTTGATAGTGCTGGGAGGGGCACTCAGTGTCCCAGTGCTGCTTTGGCATTCTTACTGTAGCTACCACCACGTCTTCCCAAATGTATGTAAAATTAATTATTAAAAAAAAGTGCGCAACGTATTATATACACGAATTGTTTATATACGAATTATGAATGCTATTAATAGAAGGAAGATGGAGCTTCATGCAGTTGATGCAGTGATGACAGACAGCTAGCTATTCAGATAAAATAATCCATAAAAGATATTCATGCTTCATGTAGTTTACTGTATGATACCAGCGCTTCCAGTAACCACCGTCTTCTGATGTAGCCTACCATATAAAATTATTATAAATCAATGGGAGCTGTGCATGAACGGGTTGCACCACTGCTGAAAAAGGGGGGATACACAATTAGTCACCTTGTAAGCTCCTCACGGTTGACAGCCTCCTGTACATTAGATCGGGCGCGTGACAGCCGTTCACTTGGAACTGCGCGTGAAGGGACAACAGCAGCCAATCTGACTGAACACACGCGCTCACCATTCCCCAAGCTGCTCTCTCTCTCTCGCACCCTTTTCCCCAGAGCGCCGTTCTGCTGACTCAGTGCCTTTGTAGAGTGAACCGGTTCCTCGCCACCGAACAGACCTGAGACGCACCAGTCACCGCAACAACTCCAGCCATGGCCAAAACTGCGATCGGTAAGACAAACCTTCCTTCATTTTGTTCGCCGGTCCGTGTCTCTTTGATGCTGAGAGGAAGCTGAGAGATGCTGCCGTGCGCACAATAGACCCTGATGCAGGAAAACAAGAAGTCCGTTAGATGGGAAATAAATATATTTTATATATATATTCAGATATATAAATCTGCTTTCTCCTTCCACCCCATGCTGTTTTATTTTCAAATATGGCTGTGCATTTTGTGTGCACCCAGGCTGCCTACTCACTTTTGCTTAGAAAAAGGGGGACTTTATAAATGAGGAAAAAGCATTTAATGGTGTCATTATAGTGCATACCTCTTAAAATGCACTGGAACATGCTTTAAAAGCCTTAAAATGATTTTCGTACGGTGACAGTGCACCTGCCGGCTCACGCATCTCCAGCATAATGCAGAAGGACCCCACCCAAGATCCAGCTCTGTGTTTCAGCCTTCAGAAAACCCTGTGAAGCCTTGCAATACCTGACTCAGAACAGTTTAAACCTTTTGACATCCTCCATACATGATATTTCTATCCTTTCTATAAAATGAGCAAGGTGTGGCTGGTATATTTTTGCCAAACAATGCCAAAATAGGGAAATACAGCATGGTAGTTAATGAATCAGGGTGTTTGAAAAAGCTTTTTTTTTTATCATTGTGGGCATGTTTATTATATAGACAAAATTCCGTCTTATCAAAATTGCCAATTATCACAAATGATAGACTGGTTATTGGTTTATCGTCAGTGGTTTTTCACAGATTTGGGAGCATGACTCATTAGCTGGTGAGTTTATTAAAGACTACATTTTTATTTTATCGCATTTATAATGGTAAAATAAAAATACGTTCTCACACCTTCAATGTATTCTTGTGACATATACAGTCTACCAGCACATGTCACATGTTTATATTTAACCCGATTCATAATAATAATAATTTAAAAACTCCTTGCTCATTAAACACGGGTTTTTAAGGTGTAATTGTGGATTTGCATGTGCATCCTTTCGTTCACACCATTTCTAGCACCATTTCTAGCAGACTGCAGTATCAGATGACTGATGTTTTAAATGTGTGTCGGGACTCAAGTCGTCTCGCTAGTAAGCATGTCTCAGTGCTGTTGTGATTCTGGATTATGTTGTAGACGGCCAAACTGGGGCATACCATATACAAGGTGTGCGTCTTTATCGCATCTTTGTGAGACACCTGCAGGGTAGGGCACTGGTGGACAGTGGCTGAATGTCTCGCTGTCATCTCACTTAAAATGTTAAATGACAACTTGGAGAGACATTTATTTTGTGGAAAACCAGTTATGTGCGCTTAATCCTACCATGCAGTGTAATTACACGGAGATGTGTCTTTAGGATATTTTATTTCATTTCACAGAACATATAAAAAATGCCCCGAAAAATGCCTGTGGGAATCCTCCCACTAATGAGAGAGAATATGTCAATCAATATAATCAGTACACCTGGAATATTTATAGGGCTTAAAAGAGCCTGCAGAAAGACCTTGGTGTGTTTGTCAGCACTATATATACCTCAAAATAAGAAAATTAGGTCTTAATCTATGCATAATCAGCTCTCTCATTATGTCTCATCTAAAAGCATGGCTTATTTAATTAGACTCTTAATTGAGCATTTTAATTAATGATTGGATAATTGGCCACAATATCATTGTCAGAAATGCATATCATATATCAAACCAGAGCTTCCAGGTGCCTGTCTTTGTCCTATAAAGTATATGCATATCCTCAGGTAACCTCAATTTATCATCTGTGATTACTGGATATGTGAAGGCGGTATTAATGCAATCAAGCCCCATTAATCGTTAACCTAACAGGAAGTTCAAATATACACATTCAGCAATGCTGTACAACAGTGGGGTGCGGGCATTGCATTTTAAGATTAATGATATGTTTAGGCTTTAATGTCAATTATATGACATTATAATAATATAATAATATATATATACATAATAATTATATATTTATATATAT